AAAAGGGCCCAAAAGGGCCACTTTCACCCAGGGTTTGGGACAGTTGCAGGGCAACATGGTGCCTCCATCTGTCTTCACCCTCACTGAGGTGCAGCCACCACCACCGACACCATTTTGAGTGTCCCTGAGCCCACCAGACCCCGGAGTAGCAGGATGGGTCCAAGCTGGATGAAACAATGCTGTGCAGATCAGGGTTTGGCTTTTGCACATCATTAAGGTCCAAATTCACCCAGGTTAATTTTTAATCCTCCATGTTGAGGCCTCTGCTCTCTCAGTTGTCCCCTATCTTCCCAGAAAAGCATTTGGGGACCTAGGTGGGTATATTTGGAAAAACAGAACCACTTGCAAAGGCTGTTCATAGGAAGCAAGTGCCCTGAGCTGTTCAGAGCATCCTACCAACCTTCCCACAGCACCCTCAGCCCCGTGAGGAGGGTCCCAGCACCCAGGTTTTGTGTCCCCAGGGAAACACCAGACAACATCCCCCTGGTGACCCCCATCCCACCCTCCTGGAGAGGTATTTGGGGTAGAGCCAGGGAAAGGCTGCCTGAGATGCGGGCATGGGTTTCTTCTGCAGCGCCGGGTTTATTCTGGCCGGGTATACAGGTAACTGGAAAAAGGTTTTGGCGAAATAACTCGGTGGTGACAGGGCTGGCAGGAGCAGTGATCCCATCCTGCTCCCACACAGGAAACCCCGGCATTTGTGTGGTCTTTTTAAGCCAAGCAGGGAAGGCTTGGGAAATGGATTTGCATTTGGGGAAACTGAGGCACAGAGGGTGAAAGAGGCCAAACTTCCTAACAGCTCCGCAAGTCACAGCTTCTGCCTCCTCAGTCTACACCGTGGGACACCTGCCAATCACTCCTGCCCTTTCAGACTGGCAACAAACCCCTTCCCAGCTGCCAAAGCCTCTTGCCTGATTTCTTGAGTTCGTTTAGCAAGGGGTTTGCCCCCCTCAAGTGGAGCCCCCGGCATAAGGACAGCGATGCCATCACCGGCATGGAGCCACAGCTGGGATTTTAGCCAGAGCCAGCGGGATGGGGAACGGGAGAAACTTTAAAACCCCAAAGAAAAACCCCAATGCAAGGATTTTTAATTTCCCTTGGGGCACCTAGTCTCTAAAAGGATGATTTTCTCTCTCGGAAAGAAACCCTTTCCTCTGCCAGGGTTTGAGCTCAGAGCACTTTGCTCTCTTCCTCGTCCCTCCCAGCCCACTCAGCTGCCCGCACCCAGCTCCCCACGAGCCCCGGGGCTGTTTGGGTTTGGGCTCGGGGCCCTGGGCTCGCTGGTGGTCTGCGGCGGGCATGCTGGTGGTCTGCACTGAGCCAACGGGTTGCATGGCTCTGGCTTCGCCTCGCCGTTTCCAGCTGGTAAATGTCATTAATCGAAGCTGAAAATACATGGCACCATTCCTGAGATGCCTTTTCCATGGTGCCGGAGCTGGAGCAGGAGGTAGGAGGGAGGGGGACAGGGATGACCCCGGGCAGGAGGGGCAGCAGAAGAAGGTGGGTTTGGGATGGCAGGAGGCATGAAAGAGAAGGGGATGGGATGAAGACAGGGGGTGTAGGAAGGCACTTCAGAAACCACACAGAGCCGAGCTGGGGCATGGAGGGACAGACAACAGGTCTTATCACTCTGGGTCCATCAAGGGCAATTTAGGACGTCCCAGTTTTACCCCATGCAAAGACAGTGCTGTCTTAAGGAAGACATAAGCTCAAGTCAGGGATACGAGTGTCCTGCTCCCACCCCAAACCCCAAATGGATGCTGCAGACAAGAGAGGGATGCAGCATCTCGGGGAGCATCCCTACCCCAGGGACACAGTGTTTTGGAGAGCATCCCCTACCCCAGGGAGGCAGCATCTTGGGGAGCATCCCCGGCCCTGGGCTCCCCACGAGGCAACTGGGTGCTGACAGGCACATGGCCCCCCCCAGCAGCCGGGTTTTGGCCCCGGTCGCTGCCTTCCCCCCTCCAGAGCAGCCTGGCACAATAGCTCATTGTGGGGCCGGCTTTCAAGCGAGGCCAGGGAACGGCAGCGCTCGCCGGCGCAGGGGAAAGGGCCGCTGGAGGAGCCGGAAAGTTGCTGTTGGACGGCGTTCAGAGGCCTCGGCGCAGCGGGAGGGAGCCGGCCGCGGAAAGCAAACAGCGCGTGGAACGGAAAGTGCTGACTCCGAAAGGCGTCCCTGGCACCCCCAGCACCACCCACGGCAGCACCACCCCGGACACAGCGAGCCCCGGGCACGTAAATAGAGCCCAAGTGTCTAAATACCTTCCAGCGACCCAGTTATTCTGGTGTAAGGCCCTTGCTGTCCCCAGCAAGCTCTTGGCCATGAACAGAGTGATGCAAGGGCGTGCATGCCCCAGGTCCCCAAGCAAAGCTCATCACCTTGCCACTGCAGCATCCCATTCTGCCTCCTCACACCTCGCTCTCCTGCTGCCTTCCCCTATATTCACATTTCTCCCCTTTCACCGCCTCCTTCCACATCTCCTGTTCTATTTCAGAGATTTCTAGAGAGCCCTTCCCTTAGTTTAGTCTTCAGTAATTTCAGTTCCTGTTTTAACCTCTCTTTATTTCCCTCAAGCGCCACTTTAGATGTCTCATTTCAAGACACCAGCCTGAAAAAAAGACTCGTTGTGCTCTCTGGCCTCTATTTAGAGCAGCAGCTCTCAGCGCGTGCGGCTGCTTTCGAGCGTGCAAACCTCCACGCACAGCCTGCAAACTCCAGCCCCCAGCCCTGGGGATACGCTGCCTCCTGCTCTGCTGCGCTGCGGGACTCATACACCCCTGGACATATATATGCTAGAGTCTGGAAAAACCCTGCTTGCTGCTCTGGCTTTGTTTAAATCACGCGCCTGAGCAGCCACACAACAGCACCTGGGGTCAATAAGCCGTGCAAAATCCTCCTAAAAGTGCAATTCCCCGCACGGGCAGGTTTTTCCTGCTGGCGAGCTCATCCCTCCCAGCAAACCCCTTCACTCTTAAGCTCAATGTCGCTGCTCTTTTACGAACAGCCTGTTTGCAGGACGCACTGCTGCAACGGCTAGGGACTGCTTTGGGGGTTGCAGAGCTGTGGCCGGGATGCTTTTCCCACAGGAAGAGCTCCAGCTCCCTCCCCAAACTCCACATCCCCATCCCAAATCTCCTGAGCAGGTTATTGCAGCCAGCGCCGGCACGGAGAGCTTCAGCGTGGGACAAGGAGATGGGGGGACAGAGCAGGGGCATCGAGGGGGGAGCACTGCCTTCATCCACCACCCCCGGTGCTTCCTTTAGGGCAGCAGGGAGGTGGGGTTCTCGCCCGCCGGGGCCGTTAACTGTTGGCCGCCATTTCCCCAGGGGGTACCCCAGGTGCATGGGGGCTTCCCCCGGCCAGTATTTTTAGCACAAACGTTAAAGAAATTGTCTGTGATTGCTGGGGGGGTGTGTGTGTGTGTGTGTGCACGAGGGATGCTGGGTGCCTGTGGCTCCACTTCCCCTTCAATTTTTAATTCCTCTCCTTCCCTCTCACTTGCAAGGACCAGCAGCATCCAAGCCGCGTGTTCCCCTCGAAGGCAAAACCCCCTCGAAGAGCTGGGGCACGGCCACCTCTTGGCTTTTTAGCTGCTCCCCCCCACCAAAAAGCCACCGGCATGGAGCGACTGCACGGAGACTTGAAAGCGGCGGATGGGAAAGGAGCTGCGCTGTTTATTTACCCAGAGCAGCCGGGCTCTGCCGAGCACGAGGCCACACGGCCCGGCCCGGCAGCTCCAGCTGTGATGAAAAAAGCTACAGCAAGATCAAGGTCCCATGGCGGCTCGGCTTGGGGCTCTGCATCTCCAAGCCAAGGAGGGAGCAGGCTCGCTCCCAGGGCTGTCCCTGTTCTGGGGGCTCACCCAGCCTCTCCGCCAGACCCTGGTGTCATTAAGCTCGGGTGTAAGCTGAGCTTTGGAAACACGCGGGTGTCTGCAGGCAGCCCGGGACACGCTGCGCCTGCCATGAGGACCATCACGGTTCTCCACCTCTGATCCTTCAGCCCTTCCCCGGACCGTCTTGCTTCCTGCCTGGCCGCAAGCTGAGCTACTATAAATGGAGTTATTATAAATATCCCTTATCCTGGAGATTCATCCATTGCATCCTCTCTGTGCCGATGACTCGTCCACCCTTCTTGGTATCCAGCGAATCCGAGCGGTGTGTTTTGGAACGCTGCGTCTAATCCACTTCACGCTGACTCAAGCAAATGAGCGTCAAGGAGACTGAGATTCCTCTGGGAATTTCCCACCATGCAAACTCACCAGCCCCATGAATAAGCATCGGCTCCCGAACCGAGAACCTCTTCGAGATGCTGGGCTCATTAATCCCCACTCCCAGACCTACAAGCTAACGGCCCCAATCAACCCCCCCGCCTCCAATTAGGGATGACACTGATTTCCTCCTGCCTTGGTGAGGATGAGGCGATACTTGAGCCAGCGTAAAACTCACCGGGGAAAAGATAATGTATAAAAATATACGTGCTTTTCAAAGATCTGAAGCACAATGGTGTGATTTGATCTCTTGGAAGCCCAGAGGCTGATTTCTCCTCCTGACAGGCCACAGCCCGAGGGCTCAAGTGGGAGAGCAGATGCCCAGCTGCATCTTCCCATCAGCATCAGGGTGAGCCGGTGGCCAGGCGGCTCTTTGAGTTGGCTACACCCATTTCACAAGAGCCTGCTGAAGAAAATACTGCTATAAAAAGTCATTTGAGGGGGTAAACCACAGGTATTCCAAGCTCCCCAGGATGGTTCGGGGTGACAAACCATTTTGAAACCCTGGAATTGCCCCTGGGAAAGCAGCGTGGAGGAGCATCTCCCTCTTCCCACCCCCCGAGACCACAGGCTGTGATGCCAGTCAGACCCTTATTCCTTATCACCACACAATTTTGTTTAATAATGCAAAATAACTACAGAAGTCACTGGGGTTCCTAAGTTCTGGCATTGTTTTTCCACTTTGCTCCCTGAATTTAAAGAGTAAAGACAACGAATAAGAGTCTGACACTGAGGGTTATGAATTATTCTTCTTTTAATTTCACATGGTTTAAAATACGATATGAAATAAGGCTACAGTATATAAAAAACTCTCCAGCAAAATGATGTGCCAGCATCAGCAATTAAAACAAAACCAATCCCCTCCTTCTTTAAGAATTCAATGTAGGAGGGATTTTTTTTTTTTGTATCCTTTAAAAACAAAACAAAACAAAACACAACACACGGACACACACACACATCGCTACATCTCTAAGCTACCTCAGCTCAGTTTTTTTTAAAAAGCACCTGCTTTTTCCTTTTTTTTAATCTCGCTTTTAAAATTTTTTTCCACTTTTAAAAAATATAAATTATATGAAAATACAAGTTGGAAAATAGTCGAACAGCACAATATAACAATCTCTTTTTTTTTTCTTCTTCTATGTTTATCAGTTTAAAAAAAAATCCCATGTGTAAAAACAAAACAAAACAAAACAAAGACTTTTTTTTTTTTTACTGAGGCAGTTAATTCCTGGAGATATTCCATTATAACATATATGTATACATAGATTTATCATTTATTTAAACCTCTTTGGAATGTAGACAACAGCTCACGGATGTTATATAGACCCTACCAGAGAGCAGAGCACACCAAGGCATCCAAATTTTGCAATGTTAACGAGGAACAAGCAACCAAGCCCTAAAGCCTCACAGAACCCCCCCCCAGAAGAGCAAGAGACAGAAGATGGGGATGTTTCCTGCAGCATCTGAATTTATCGGTGCTTACTGGGACCTTTTATTTGGAGGTGTTGGTTTGGAAAGACATGAGGAGGTTACATCACACAGTATTTTTTATTTCCTGCCCTGTGTGGTTATTACACCACGTCTGGAGCGGGACGGTGGTAGTGTGGAAATAAAATGGATCTACACTCACACACACACGAGTGTCCACGGGTTATGATCACTCTACATGCAGAGATGGAAGAGAGGCAGCAGGAAAAGCACTTGCATTTTGCATCAGGTTTTTGTTTTTTTCCTTTTACTGAGGTCCCCAATACCGACTGCTGAGGCCCCAGAAAGCTGTTTGCAAGTGCTACGCTCCCAAGGTAGGACTCAGGCTCTGCCACAAAGCCAAGGGGACATGCCCCTGCACAGAAAAGAGCAGATCACGAGCAGAACACAGACAAATATTTGTAAAAAATCACCAAAAGCACCTGAGTCATTCCAAAACAAGACAAAACTACCCAATTTCTAAAAGCTGTGTGTATCTGCTGAAGGTGAAGCTCAGCCCCATGCAGAGAAACCAGCACAAGAGCGAGGCCCATCCCGGGCAGATCTCCACCATCCCTCTCAAACCCATCCTTCTGGTCCAGCACATGGAAGTGAGAACCAAAATTTCATGGCCTCAGAGAACAGGAGGTCAGAGGGTTTGGGTTCCAGCACACCCCTCACCAAAAGTCAACATACAGTTAAAAAGAAGAAAGAAAAAACCCAAAGGAACAAGAACAAATCTGCAAATTTCCAGTGTATAAACAGCACACAGCCCTCTCCGGGATGGTCTCTAGATTGGGAATAAAAAAATAGAAGAAAACAGGAAATGATGAACCTGCTGTCCCTAGGACTTTTCCGGCTGCACTTGCACACAGGCTGCGAGCTGTGATGGCAAACAGCCGGGAGAAACGATGGAGAAGCTCCAACCAGGGGCTACTTCCAAAAAACAGAGCTGCTTTCCACGACTGGCCCTTCCTAACCTTTAAAGCACCTTCTTAAAACACAAGGAACACACAGGTTCAGCTTGGAAACCTGGAAAAAAAAAGCACAGTGGAGCAGACAAGGGATTTAGCCTGGCAGAAGGATGGGGTTGGTACCTGGACCTGCGGTTCCTTCCATCGGAGGGAAATTTTATCCCTGTTTTCCGCTTGAAAAAGGCACTTCAGCTGCAGTGGAGCATCCGAGTGAAGCAGGAGGCATGTCCTGGGACACGACGTGGTGCCCAGGGCAGGAGACAGGGAACCCTTTCTAAGGGTGTAAGAGGGATTTTCCAAAGCACAGGTAGAAGTGGCCTGTGAAGGGTAAGCTAAGGGCACTCAGCAGCTGCACGCAGGACAGCAACCCCAACCGCCCAAAAAAACCCACCCGATTGCTGAAAATCCAACCTGTACGATGTGTCCTGTCAGGAAGCTCTTGAACTGCTCCTCCCCTGCACATTTCTGTGTCCCTTTTCAGCAGAGCTCTGCCCCGATGCCTTGCTGCTGGGGGGGGTCTCATCCACGCTATCTGTGTTTTCCTTTCCTCTCTCCAGCTCGGCCCAGCTGCTTTCTCCCATCCTCCCTATCTGCCCCAGGAGCTGAGCTGAAGTTTAACTTCCCAACAGGCAGTGTCCCTTTCCTCCTTTGGTGCATGTTCCTTTCACCTTCCTTTCATCCCCTTTTTCCTTCCTTTCCGTCCATCACACCCTTTTCTTCCCATATGCTCAGTGGGATGATGCGCAGCCCCAGCCCTGTGAGCTAACAGCATAATAACATCCCTCGCCTAAACCACCTTCTGCTTTCATCCCCCTTGGCTGGAGCTCCCTCTTGGCCCACTCATTTCCCCTCCACCAGCACCTTTTTTTTTTTTTTTTTTTAAGTACACAGCAGTTTTGGGGTTGACTTGCCCCAAAATGACTAACTGGGGATACAGAGGTGCCCCCAGGTCTGGAGGATGTGGAGGAGAGCCCAGCACCTCTGAACATCACCTGGCCCTGAGGTCGAGCTCCCCAACACCGCCCCTGTGCAGGGGGGGTTATATGCCTGAATATTTTGGCTTTCTGCACAGAGCCCTGCCCTGCTGACACAACAAATCAGCCTGTACTACACAGGCACCGCCCGGTGAGCAACTCTGGCAAGCCTCTCCCCACCTCGCCCCCCACTGCTGTCTCACAGTGCCTCTGTGACGAACACAACTACCTAAAGCACACAGACGGACAGACAAACAACACAAAAAGAAGGTACTTTTGGTTCCAACGCATAATACTGTCTTTAGAAACAAAAAGCCCAGTGGCTCTCAGGGGTGACAGACCCCGTTTGGCGTTTGGATCCGCACGGATCCGGCTTCGGGGTTGTATCTGGATAAAGAAACGCTCACTGCCCCGCGCTCTAACTCACACCAGACCCACCCCGAAGGCAGTCGGGAGCCTCAGTCTGCTCAGAGCAGCCTGGGAAGTGCTGGGGGCCGCAGGATTTACCCCTCTGAACGAGTCCCTGAAGGTTTGGAGGACAGATGGGAGCAGCTCCCCCCAGGAGTGGTCCTGCAACCATCTCGGGCAAGCGCATGAGACCTCCCGTTTACCCCAGCGACACCGGTCATATGCTTCATGTTAATCACACCCTGCCAGGGTCTGCAGGATCAGGCTTACAAAGAGCAGTAAAGAACCCATTTGCACGGACAATTTCCTTTCTGCGTGTGCCCAGGCTGATTTAGACATACAGCAATAAAGATAGAGCTGGTCGAAACAGGAAGAAAAGAACATTTCCCTTTGTTTTTTTCAACTTTTTCCTGATTTTTTTTCCCCCAACCAACTTACATATTTTCCACTTAACCACGTTCAAAATATGGGAATTTCTCCCTTTTTCTGCTAGACAAAAAAAACCCAACAAACTAACCCCACCCAAATTTTCTGAAAGCACCAAAAGTGTTCCTTGAGCAAAAAAAGTTGTTTGGAAAATGCAAAAAAGACATTTTCCCCACAAAACTTGACAGGTTTCATGCACAAAACGCAGCTGTACAAAAAGGCCCTTTTTTTAACAACAACAACAAAAGCGGAAATTTCAACCAGCTTTATCAGCAAATGGTGGAGCAAAGCGTGTGGGACTGGAAGCAAGAGCGACACACCCAGCCAGCATCACCAGGAGCCAGTTTGGAGTTAAAATTTTCCTTCACACACGATTCGGAGATGCCGAGTCACAGTGCTACACTTCTCCAGTGGGGTCTACATAAACTCGTTTTTTTTTTTTTTTTCTTTTTCCTCACTGTGATAAAACTCTCTGCTGGCATAACAGAAACAAACACACACAATATTGCAATACTGAGACCATCTTAGAGCTTAAGACTATTTAAAAAAAATACTGGCACAAAATTTAATAAAATAAAACTTTAACAAATTTTTTTTTTTAAAAAAAAGAGTCTTGATCCCTCCTATAGCAAATATTCTGTCTTTTGTAGAAAAGAAGACAACTGACAGAAAGGTGATGTAACAAGAACGACAAACAGTTCTTGGTTCTTTCCTATATTGCCCCTCCCCGAAAGGAATATTCCCCCACTTTGGTTCTCCCTCCCCGCCCCCCAAAAAAGTTTAAAATCCTCAAATCCTCGGGAACACTGTAATTTCCTGAACTGTCAGTTTGTGTGCGAATAATACAAAAACCAAAGGGATCCACACTGGATAACATTTTTTCTAAACAACAAGGGATGGGGAGGGGTTTGGGTTTTTTTTAAGTGAGCTACATTTTTCTGGCTTTCTTAAAACTCAGAATTTCACCCCCAAAAAAAGCCTGTCTTGGAGCTTTCAGGAAAAAAAAACAAGCCCATCCTTCTCCGAACCAAACTTTTTAGGTTTTGGATAAAAGTTTGTCTCTTCCGCCACCCTCTCACCCAACATCCTCAAAGCATCAGATCTGAGTTGCTCTTTTAAAAAAAACAAAACAACAAAAATAACAGTAAAAATAAAAAAAGAACCAACAGAAAAGGTCCCATTGACTCTCCAAAATGCCACGGGGTGATCCCTCTGCCCCGGCCGGCCACCTTCACTCGTCGGCATCGGGCTTGACGTCCAGCATGGCGTGGAGCTCCTCGGGCGTGTAGCCCAGCAGGCTCTGCAGGTCGCAGACGAAACGGTAGACGTAGCGTTTCCCGGCCGTCTTGTGGATGATGTTCTTGTCGTAGTAGTAGCGCAAGCCGCGGCTCAGCTTCTCGTAGTTCATCTTGGGCTTGTTTTTCCTCTTGCCCCATCGTCTGGCCACCTGGGACAGGGGGGAGGAGAGTCAAAGGGGGGATGGATGTCACAGGGAAGGGAAGGGAAAAAAATCAATCTGGCTTGGTTGGGCAACCATCAGGCAGCAGGGCCAGACTCCAGGGAAGGGAGAGCACTTCCTCTGTCTTTAAGATGGATACGGATGGGTCACAACCATTAACATTTGGGAAAACCAACCTCCGTGCAATGGCATAACATTGCAGACAACTCTATGGGGATTCATGGAAAGGAACCAATGTCCCATCTGTTCCCCCAGATCAGTGGGAAGCCCCCCACCGCCTGTACACACCCTATTTGCTTTGGCAATACATATCCCTAGTGTTTCAACTACTTCACACCAGCTTTGGGCACAAATTACTGCTTCCTAAGTATTACTGCAGCCCAGTCTTTAACAGGTTTTCAGCTGGACTCTAATTCATTCTTTTCCCCAAGACCAGAACAACATGACTGCCCTGAAGGGAGAGAGAGAGGATTATCCACACCAATATTTCAGCGGCATTTGGGCTCTGCACTTAATTCCACGGCACTCTACCTCGTCTGGGTCAGAAAGTTTGAATTCCCAGCCGTCGCCCGTCCAGCTGATGAAGGACTGACAGGACTTGTCAGTGAGCAGTTCCAGCAGGAATTGCCACAGTTGGATGGGTCCACTGCCTAGAAAGACAACGGAAACATGAGATGTTAATGCCAGGAAAAGCACGGTCCCTTCTATCCCAGGGGATTGAAAAAACAAAAAAATCACATGCAAACAGTGATCACTGGAAAATTAAAACCTTTTCCTATCATAAAACACCCAACAGTGCCACAGGGCAAGATCTAGGCTGAGATGACAGTTTGAGAGTTAAATCCTGCAGGTAAAAGAGCTTCCTATTTGCAGTAAGAGCTGAATATTCACGGACTGGAATGCTTTACTTCGAGTTACATAAATAGGATTATTTTGCTGGCATCCAAACAGTGAAGAGTCATTGTCTTGGCACAAGAGCACCCCCATTTCCTCTGTGCCAAAAAGCTGCTGGCCATCATATGAACTCCGGCAGACTCCTGCTTCCCGACCTTGACTCTTTGCTCCGTCGCTGTTTAACCGAGATAAGGGGGGACCCAGGTATGAAAATTATTTGGCCTCTTTCCAGGGCGTGTTGCTGCAGGAACGGGCTCTGCTGGCTCATGGAGCTCGGCGCGGGGAAGGCAGGGGCTCGGCAGACAGATCTCACCAGCTCCGGAGTGGTGGATCTCCCCAGCACAGTCTTGGCACTGTCTTAGCAAAGCCATACGCAAACCTCCTCAAGGCTGCTGGTTCCCTTAAGTCAAGAGAGGCACGAGGCAGCACGCAGCATCCCACACCACGGACATTCAGCCTCTCCTTGCAACTCTGCCCTCTCCATCCCTCCCCTGGGTGCTAACTGTGGCCAACAGCGATCTGTCTCGGTGTCCTGAGCCCGACCCATCTATCCTGCAGGACCCTGTGCACCCTGCTGCGAGCTCATGGCTTCACAGTCCAGTTTTGGCTTGGATTAATGGTGTACGTGGAGCGATTTCGAAATACTTATCTCTTTTTTGCATTTGTGTCCCAATCAAAGGTAGAGGAGAAACCCTCAAGCCAAAACCTCTTTGATGAGCAACTTCCAAATGCGGCCGCACCCAAAATATTGCACTTAGCTCTGGGCAACATGTTTTGGGCGAGATTTTGCCATGTTTTAAACGCAGCTTAGAATATATCACCAATAATAAGAATGACAATAATAATAAACAGAGCTAGAGGTTAGAAAGAATGATTTATCACAAAAAGAACTGCACAGGCTGGGTTAGGATGGCAGGCTGGGGTAAATCCGCCTGCTGACAGCAGTGAGCACAAGCTTCAAGCAGGGAAAAAAAGAGTTTACTCAGAAAAAAGGATGGAGAACAGCCTATTTCCATGAATGACAATGAAGGCTGTCAGAGCTGTGGCTGTGGGAGAACCCGCCAAGGGAAGAAAGGGCTGTTCCCCCTTTTCCACAAGGTTTAAAATGACTCAAAAGCAGACAAGCTGCTGGGGAGGAGGAAATGAGAGAGCTGGCTGCAGGACAGGGGAATCACTGTGCGCCATCCAGCCTTCCCCAAATTATTTCCCTCCTGTTATCCCTAAGGAACCACTCCAGAGTTTTTCAGGCACCAGGTCCTCTGCCAAGCCCTGGGGGTTATCGAACAGCCACGGGCAGGACAAAGCAGGGAGCTCACAGCATCTCTCTGCCTGTAAATGGAAAGATGACACTCAGTGGGGAAAGGCTCCAGCCTGTCGTTCTTGGCAGGAGCTTGCCAAGACGTTGACTACGCAACCACGCGCTCCGGTAGGGATGGAGCTGGGTTATCCGCCCTAAAATGAGGGTGGAAAAATTCAGATGATGCCTTCACCTCACTTTCAAAAGGGAAGAGCCAAAACCCTGGCCTGAAATGCCACCACATCTCAAAGCATAGACCTATTTATAGCAGCAAGCTTTAAATACCAAGAAAACACTGGGAAAAAAGGTTATTTCAGCTGCCTGAGGTCCTCCACAGGGAATCACAGGTGAATTCACATGGGGATGGTTTCTCTTGGCCCATCTGACTTTACACTAATTCCCTACAGATACACAGCATCCAACACCCAAATCAGGTTAACGGAGAAACAGTCTTAGAAGACTTGACACAAGATCATATTTATCACCTGGCACCGATTTCTCTCCTGCCCAACCATAGAAGAAGGATTTTTTTCTTAATTCTTTCCCCATAATAAGTCAGATGGAAACCCATCACCTAGGCACCAGGTTCTTGGGGAAGCAACTGCCCTCAAAATACCCCTGGGCCACACTGGCTCTGTGGGAGTGTTTCAAGGTTTGAGTGTCATTAACCCTGAGCCAAGCGGCCGGCGCAGTTCACGCTTGGTGCTCACAGCTCGGCTGCCAGCTGGCACAGAGAGGTGTCGGGAAACCCAGCAATTCCTCACCCTCTCTCCAGCAAGCAAGGTAGGGCTCCTGCCACTGCGCTGGGTGCCACTCTGCTGGGTATTTTGGGATTTTGAAGGAAGCAGTGTCATCCTCGGAACAGGGATTCCCAAGGTCTATTCCAAGCTGCCTGCAGGACACGTGTAAAACCCCAAATTCCTTTGTGTTGGACAAGCAATTATGTCAAGAATGTGTTTACTGCAGGGCTTGCAGGCATGTCTCGGCTCCTATAAACACACGCCCTGCCAGAGGGGAAGGCAGGAGAGGCCCTGCAGACACCACTGTAAGGTGTCATCCAGGCGGGTGATGCTTGAGGTAGCAGGAACCAAACCCTGGCACATGCCCGAGCCTGCATGCCCGAAAACAGCTCTGGGGAGACTGCAGGGTAGGAAGGTGAAATGATCAGGGAAGGGGTGATGTGCATCATCTGGTGGGCCAGTACAGCTGTAATTAATGCTGGGAGGGCAATCTGCAGTAATAAGCTTCTTTTGCTCGCTCTGCACACCAGCAAGGAGCTGGGAGTTATTTTTCCCAATGTTTAAAAGGATTTCACGGTGACCTTTGGCTCGGGCAGAGATGCCACCCCACCAACGCCGTGTCCCCAAAGCTATCAGGGCAGGGATGAAGCTGCTGACCTTGTCTCAGTACCCAAAACTTCCACCCCCGCAGGAGCTGGGAGCGGCACCCATTTTCCATCCTTTCTGCTTCAACTCTTCCACTTGTCCCTGGTCAGGGCTGGAAATCCCCACCACGACACCTGGTCCAGATTGCTTCGTGGCACAAGCACACACCGACCACCCCACGGCTGGCATAGTTCGGCGGGTGTATCCCACCACGCGACCTGCTGCAGAATCCCAGAATCATCTGGGCCGGAAAAGCCCTTGAAGCTCCTCCAGTCCAACCATGACCCTCCCCCTGACCGTTCCCAACTCCACCAGATCCCTCAGCGCTGGCTCAGCCCGACTCTTCAACCCCTCCAGGGATGGGGACTCCCCCCTGCCCTGGGCAGCCCATTTCAAGACCCAACAACCCCTTCTGCAAAGAAATACTTCCTAAGAGCCAGTCTAAAATTGCCTTGGTTATCTCCAAAAACAACCACCACTGGAGTGTTCTCGCAAGCTGTTTTTTAGATGCAGCCCCAAGCATGGGGTGGAGGGACACAAGCCACCTTTTAGGGCGCTGGTCCTGCTGTGCACATCCAGGGACTTCCCAGAGCGAGCCCAGCCCAGGCTGGGGAACGGGGGCAGACCCTGCTCCACAAAAGACAAGGGTGGTGTGATGTCCTCCCGCCCTGCCACGACCTCCAGCACCCGTGAAGGCTGCTAAGAATAGTGCCCGCTGGGGCCACAATGGGGGCCCTGTCTGGCCTTGGTGGCACTGAAGGGACTCCTTCAGCAGGAACTGCCACACTGCAGGAATTCTCCCGCGTCAGGGGGAAAATATGCCTCTTAAACCGGATGATGACTGGCTGCTCCAGCCGGAACCGATGGCTGAGCGGTGCCTCCTCCACACCAGCCCTCCGATGGCACCCGTGGGTGTCTCCAGCGCCCAGGGTTTGGTGCCACATCATCCCTGTGCCATCCTCCCTTGGCTGGGACTGGAGGTCTCCTACCACCTTCCTACCCAGCGGCTCTGGAGGGGTTTGAAACCGCTTTCACCAGTGTGGTGATGGTGGTACCACCCAGCTGGGGCAGACAGGCATCTGTGCCGTGCCCAGCAAGGCATGGCCTGAAACGCGTCATCTGCACTCTCTCTCAAGAAGGTTTCACACCCCCACCCCTCTCAACGGCCTCTGTTTTGTTTTCCTTCTTTCAAACAACAAGAAAAAAAAAAAACAACCTACTGAAGAAAAAAAAAAAGGGGCGTACCTATGCTTTTCACTCTGTGGTTTGTGGTTCCAACTCAACAAAACAATTGGGCACAGCAATGTCTCCAAAACAGCCTTCGCCTCACTCATGTGCCCACCCTGCCCAAGCCCCCTTCACCGTTGCACTGGAGGTCCCCAATTTCTCGCACTGTGTTAAGGGATGGCAAAGCTCATCCCCATCACTCCCTCATTAGGCCAAGCTCAACCACCTCCTCCCAAGCTCTGGTCCAGGTCACGCCACGGCGAAGTGCCAGCTTTGTATGGGTGGGAGGGCAGAGGCTCAGCTAGAAGCATCTCCAAAGAGAAGGCATGAAGAAAGCAGGGAAGCCCCCAGAAAGCACCTTTCTTAGGGAGCCACATGCTTTTTGGTCATGTTTGTAGACAGGAGAGCAGCCAGGCAGGCCACTGTGGGCCAGTTCTGCTTTCCTGATGCATCAACTGTTTCAAGGAAGAACATGCTGGGAGGACGGGTCTCACTCCAGAGGCATCTGGCAAAGCACAAGAGGCTTTGCGAGCTTCACATCACCTCCTGAAGGTGGTCCTGCAGGCCAAGAGCTGTAGTTTAAATGCTCCAGATCATTGCTCGAAGGAGAGACAAAGCCTCTGGGGTGCAGAGAAGGTGCTGCCAGTGGCTGGTGAGAGCTGAGGTGCTGTCACGCTCTGGCAGTGTTGCATGGGGCTGATTTCACTGTCATTTGCACATGTCTGGCAGGTGGAGCAGGAGCCACTGAACCAGCCCCGAGCCCCACCCTCGAGCTCCCCACCTTGCGGAGGCGAGAAGGGCTGCTCAGCCCAGGCAGGTGCCGCAGTGAAGGCAGAAAGCAGGCAGGAACCGCTGGCTGGTCACACTTGCAGTCACCCTGCAAGGGCAGGTTAAGGGTAGGACCCAGAGGGAGAGAGCTAACACCACCCCCTGCATCGCCCAGGGAACTGAGATGCTGCTGCGCTGCTTCTGAATCCTGGGACAGCTGACTGCATCTCCAAATTCCCCTAATTCAATATACAAGTGGCTATGGATGCACGTGCAGGCATGCTTCTCCAGAAGCGCAGGCAAGCAGGCAGGAAGGATGCTGATGTTTCTCGAAAAGCTGCTGCACAAGCTCTGGAAGTCAAGGGCAGCCAGATCACCGGACCATGGTGGCAGAGGGGCCCAAAAGGCAACATCTGGTGGATTTTCAGATGCTGATGACCACAGAACAGCTGGGGAGCCTGCTGGTGGAAGCTTCAGTAGCAGCACGGGCAACAACAAGAGGAGAAACAGCACACAAGCTCTCTTGAAAGAGACCCACTTTCTTTGGCATTGACCTGACTTTCTTGCAAAACAGCAGCTGCGTGCTTTCACTTCTATGTCACAGATAAGCATCGCTCAGAAACGGAGCCTTGTTGAAGGCTTCAGGCTCTGCACCACAGACAATTCAGACAGGGCAGATGGGTTTAGCAGGCAGATTTGGGCCCTGTCGACGGGGTACTGCGAATGCTGATAGCAAGGATCAGGGCTGAATCTAGCCTGGGCGAAACCCTTTGGTAGACAGAAGCGCTCCTGGGTGCTGGGGTGAGATAGCATCTGCGAGAGGTGGCTATTCCCTGCACTACTGCAATATTTTCAGTCTTCAGGGCAGCATGATAATGAAGATAGCATCAATCTGTTGCTAAGAGAAACACTCAGGTCATGTGCGGTATTAGCTGGGAAGGGGGCATTAACTCTTTAGGTGCTGTAAACAGCAACTTCCCAACCAGGTCGGTAAGAAAGGACAGCATCACAAATGCAAACCCAGCCTTGCAGAGGAAGGCTCACAGTTCGGGGCATGCTCGCTTCACCTTTCTTATCCTTTCCTCCCTCTGCCTCTCAAACATGAGGGGAATGGCTCTGCTCTGTCTGTTGAGCTCCGCAGAGCAGCAGCCTGGCCCATCACAGCTCTGGCAGTGTGGCAGTGCAGACAACACCCTGCGATGGAAAGCCCTGGCCTGCACAGACGATGCTGAGGTCCTACGTGCCACAAAGCAAACAAACACATCTTGGCTAGAAGCCCATGCAGGTGCTTTGGGGGCACCCAAGAAAAGGCAAAACCAGTTCAGCCCGGACTGGCTATCGCCAACCACAGGGGCTGAGGGAGGATCTGAACCACTGCTGGACCAGCATCGCTAGGAGGGCAGCAGCACAAGTAGGTCAGTGTAGTGGAAAAGCAAATGTAGGACAGAAAGAGCAAAGACCAACGTGGTCAGACCCCCACCACAGGCCCTCTGCACAGGCTGCTCACTCCTCGACTGCATTTATCCATGGGGTGTCAGGTCTCACAAAAGGGGCTGGAGGCTGCGGTACCCATTGGAGACAGTGGCTTGCAGGATCCAGCTATGGCACAGCTGCAGGTGGCATGGAGGCAAAGCTGAACTTAATTTAGCTCTGCTGGGCTCAGGTATGGAGGGGTCTATGTCCACGTGCCAGCATGCACCTAGCACAAGCCACCCACCCACACCAAATGCTGCATGAACGAGGGACCTTAAACTGAGCTCAGCTAAGCCAGTGTGAAGCTGAGCCTGCAGAGAAGCTGCATCCAAACACACCATTTACCCAAATTTAATAGATTCATTCTGTCTCTGTTTCCTAGGTTGTGTCAATAAAAAGAAATAAATCTGGCTTAATGTAACACTCAAGCTGGCCAAGATTTGAGAGAGCTGGCCCCTAAACCAGAGGTGTCCAGAGCTGGCCCTCCCTGCAGCTATGGAAACTGAAGTTCATCAACTCCTGAGCAATTACATTTCTCCCTCAAAAAAGATAAGAAAATTGCATCAACCTCTATCTGAGCAACCATGGCAACTTGTTAAATTAGGTCAAGATGTGGGGGCAGATAACGCAGCTTTGAAAAGCTGCTTGTGAGCTGAGTGAAGAACACATCAAACGCAAACAGAGCTTCCGCTAAAATGCACCTTCTCACCAAAGCATGCGCCTCTTAGGGCAGATACCATCAGAGATGTGCCGTGGCTGCGATAACGCACTGTGCCACCTCCCTGGCCTGCTGGCAAAACAGGCCCTCGGTAACAAAACCTGAACAGTATTGTTGAGTTCTTAAAGCCAAACCAGAGAGCTCTGGAGATGAAGGATGTGATGTCCCAGGTTTCACCCTTCCAGCCCAAAGAAGTGCAGAGAGTGGCAGGTCTGTTGGGTGCTCCACGGGCTGGTCACTGGCGGTGGACATGTGCTCGAGGCATCATCTGAGTGAGACTTTGGGACCCTGGGCTGGTAATCCCCTGCTCCGCTCGACTTGAGGCTCCACCTCCTCACCAGAGCTGCAGAGCCCAGACTTTAAGTTCCGCTGCTTTAGCTGTTAGACAGCACTTCCTCCCCCGAGTAAAGTAAAAGTAATGTAAAGCAAAGCATAAAAAGAAGAACCTACGAGTTCTGCCTGCGACTCCCCACACCCCTTGCTCAGCTGGCCCAAGAAAGAGGTCCAGCACTTCTCAGTGGCCAGCCTGCTTTTTTTTTTTTTCTCCAGAAATACACCAATACAAAATAGTTTTGAGAGTGCCCAGCTCTCCTCCAGTTTGTAATGCAACATGTTCTCACTTGTGCTTGCTGTGACCTGCTTTCACAGTAACCCGGCTTCGCTTTGCACCCACGCTGGGCTCCCTTTGCACAGAAAATGTAAGGTGCTGACAGGTCAGTAAGCTTTAAAAAGGGACAGAGGACATCTCTGGAGTCATGTGCCTGCAAAGATCATCTGTCCAAAGATTGTTCCCAACAGTAAATGCAGGCTGTGGTGGTTTGAGGACTGAATTATTGCTTAGCAGCCTTTGGAGCAAGCAAGCAGCGCTCCAGCCCAAGGATTTCCAAGTGACTGCTGATTCTGGAAACCTCTGATTTTCCTCTCTCCATTTAAAGCTTTTCAAGTGAAGCAATGCAAAAAAAAAAAAAAAAAAAAAAAAAAAAAAAAAAAAAAAAAAAAACAGGCACTCCCACTTATTGATCACACCGAAATGCCTGGGCCAAGGGATTATCTTTCCAGCTCAAAATGGGGTTTGAAATGAGGCAAGGGAAAATGTTATGCAGTGCAAAGCGTTTGGAAGTGTGCTCTGGCATTGCATTAACCAAAGTCCCCCCTTCCTGGTGGCAGGAATCCAAGGACACTCTTTGGGGTGCTAATACTCCTTGGCAAAAGACAAGCTCAAGCTGCCGACTTGGGCTCCTCGCTCGCAGAGGGAGCTGGGAACACCACCTCTCTCCGGGGGTGGCTCTTTTCCATGAGCTACAGCAAATGTGGAGGGAAACGTCCAGCTTGGAAAAACTCCTGGTTTTGCCAGTGCCTCTGTGCCTCAGTTTCCCCAGCTGTTAACATGCAGTCAATGCTCCTGTCCAGGACCAGGTACCCAAAACACTTCCACAGGTCGTAGTGAAAGGCATTATCAGGAGAAAATAGGAATAAAAATTGCAAGTTCTGCTCACTGGTCTCTTTTCTTAGGAACATCACCTTCTGTGGCATGGCAGAGGATGGTGTCCCGCAGCACGGCCCCTCCTACCACTCATGCCTCTCCACACCACATCCCCCAGCCAAAAACCATTCAGGAATACACTTTTATTTTGCATAGACTTGTTTTAAACAGGCTCATTCAGCAGGCAGAGCTGAGCTTTCTTTCTAACTAAAGCAATAGTAACAAACCACTTCCTTTTTTACACATAGCTCCTAAAATTATCTCTCCACCTCTCCTCCCCTCTGCATCTCTTCCCCCCTCACGAAAAACTAGATATCAGCCCTAAGATGAGCCATGCGTGGGAGGAGATTTCAGGGACAGTCACACCTCAGGATCTGCTCTCAACCTTTTGATGATCTTTATCTGCACAAACTATTTCCACGCTTGGCTCCTCTGGGCCACAGCTGCTACCAGCTGGGGCAGGAGAGATCAGTATGTACAAGGGAAAGGGGAACTGGCAGAAGGCTGCCCTGTGAATTTTACTTATAGTACAGGGAAAAGACATGGCACAGAAGGACTGGAAAGGATTATCTCAATTTTAGCTGGAAGCTCCATCCCACCAGGTTTCTCTCCAGGGAGATGCCAGATTGCTGGAGGGCTGACATATAAAAAGCTGGAGTTTCCATGGCCTATCCCCTTCTCATCTCTCCCAGTGCAGGGAAGGCAAAATGTTTGGGTCTGCTTTGGCACCATCCCACCCCTGCCTCTCACCAAGGTAAAGAGCAAAACCAAGTGCTTCCTCCACGGCAAAAGGGGAGATCACTTCACATCACACACAGCAATGCCAGAAATGGAGCCGCTCCTGCCTGAGGCAGGAGACCAGGAGCAACTGGCCAGCAGGCTGCACAGAAGTGTCAGCAGGGGAAAACGTGGGCTTTCTACTATCATGTGTTCTCAACAACACAAACCAGGCACCAATTCCTTCCAGACTCAACCAGGAGGCACCCGGGTGTAAATGAAAACACAAGGCATCAAATGCCCAGCGTTCAGTCAGGTCCTATATTCTCCATGAGGTCTGGAAGGCCCACGCATGAAGGACACGCAGCCTTGGGGCGGGGGGGGGGGGCCCAGAGGCACCCCAAAACCCCTCACTCACAGACCACTGAGATGCTGGGCAACTCAGAGCCCTTGGAGGCTCTGCCCTCTCCCCCGATGGAGAGGCTCTACCCAAGGCGCTCGGCAGAGAGGCAGTTTTCCTGAGGACTGTGACCCTACCTGTGTAGCCAGCAAGGGCAGCAGCAGGAATGACAGGCTTGTCCTTGTTCATATCGGCCCGATCTCGAACATAGTCCTTGAAGGTGCCCTTGGGCTTGTGGTTGGGCAGGGCGGCGGGGTAGTCCTCCGAGTCGAAGCTGTCGTAGGAAGGGACACGCTGCAGGCTCTGGAAGGAGGACTGGCTGCTCCAGGACTGCGTCAGGCGGTCACAGCTGTCGTAGCTCTCTATGCTCTCGAAGGAGTCCTGGCCGCCCAGTTTACCTAGCGAGAAGGAAGGGCATGTGAGATGGGCTTGGCCAGCACAGGGATGCTTTAGCTTGCCACAGCCAGGAGAAGGGTGTTTCGCCAGCCCGCTGCACAGGCAGAAGGCAAATGGGCAAATGTCACTGTCCCACCATGCCTCCTCTCCAAACAAACTCCAAAGTATGGCCTGAAACTGGGATACTTTTATTATCTTTGTAATTCAGAGCAAGGCTACCTGAGCCCCAGAGAAGTTTAGATAGCAAAGCAAGGCAGAGTCAGGGGAAAAACCCACTCTACACAAGACTGACACCTGGGGCTAACTGGAAATTGTCTCCTGTTTCAAAAAGGCAGCAGCAGAGAAATAATCCACTTTAGACAGATATTCAAGGCTCAGTTCAAGTGCCAGGACCTCTTGCTGCTGAGAGATATGGGTCTCCAGTAAGTCCTGTATTATATCTATATAAATGCTTCTCAGGCATGTTCAAGGGCACTGGACACCCAGCTTCTATACTTTTGATGTTTCCTGCAAAACTATACAGCAGTCTTTTATTGCCATATGTTACAACCAGCTTCCACCCCCAAATCCCCAAACAGCAGCAGATTTGATGGAGGAGGAGAGCAAAAGGCTGAGAGCTCAAACAGCTATTTTTCCAGTTCTGGTAAGGTGAACACAGCTGGGTTGTATCAAGGCTACTCTCTGGGGTATTTTTAGTACAGACCAGAACACGAGAGGACAGATCCTCAGCAGTGCTGTGCTGATTTACACCCACTAGGGACAGCAGAAGTATACCCTCTGTACTTAAAACTGAGAGCTAAAAAAGGATCCAAAGAACAAACTGAAATTGCTCTCTCTGATCTCCCGTACACTGCCGATTGCTCAACATCTTTACTGACAAACTATGAGCGTAACAGGATCATTCAAGTTCACTAATTTCCCAAACCGGGCTAAAAACAGCTGCTGGGATTGTGCAAGAACTCCTGGAGAAATTTCCACTGGCAGAGCTACCCGCAGCTTGGGCCCAGATAGTAAATCACAGGGGAACAGGAACGTGGAAGGATGCTGGCATGCTCCCCCAAATATTTGTTGTGTTGTAGTTTGACGAGCACTTGCTGTGAAAAGACACAACTACCGTGGGCTCTGCCCTGATTGCTGGCCCAGAATCATCTGAAGTTTGGAACCGTTGGCTTGATTCTTCTGGTAATATCCATGCTTCAAAGTCATTTTATTTTTTGCTTTTAGTTTTTTGAGAATTTCCCAGAATACACTTCAATCACTTCCTGAATCCTGCCAGGGGGAAATTAACACCGCTTTGTGCATGTTCATTAATTGGCATAACCACTTCCCTGAGAAGTGCTGCAGCACAAGCTCGTTTAGAAAAGGAATTAAAAGTCTGCCAGATGAACAGCCACCGTGTCGGAGACGTGACTTGGGTCATTTATTTGAAAATTCACCTAAATTTGACCTAAACGTGAGCCTTTGGAAAAATCACGCCTTGTACCTAGTCAGGAGAAATTTGTTTAAGAGTTTGGCAGCTATACTTTCCAACCAGACGCCCTCACTGATAAGACAAAGTCAAACAACTCTGGTGGGACCACAAAATTAATTCCTAAAGCCCACACAAAGAAAGGCAAAAGGCAACTGTCTGGAAAACCTTCATCCTGAATTTCACACTGCTCGAAGCGCTTTACTTCATGGCAGACTAACCTTTTAATGCAGGGGAAGGTAAAGACGTACGTAAATATAAATGAAGTGGACTCTGCTTTATATTAAGGCTTCTTTATACCACTCTGGGAGGATTAATGCCACCCAAAGGCCCTTCTACATGGCTGAAATGGAGCGTTAGTGTAAGCGCGGCTGTAGCCTGTTGCGTTTCTTCAATTGCAATCAGTATGTTGAAGTGTTTGCTAACACCAGGGGCCCTTTGGTCCCCAACGCTGACTTAAGGGCTCTTTCCTCCCTCCCCTAGAGCCTTTTTAGGCTTGCCACTGAGACAGGCTCCAGGTACAATTGCAAAAGCATGCCTGAATCATTGCGTTTCAGTGACAATTATTATGAAATCACCTATGTTAAAGAAAAGGTCAAGAAAAGGGAAAGACACTGATGAAAGACAGCCAGAAAAACAAGCCCAGAAAGAGGAGCTTACCTAAAATTATAACACTGCTGCCCTTTTGGCTCACTGTATCGTCTAAGTCACCTCTCTCCTATTAACACTCAGCCAGCAGCAGAAGCAGAGGTAATAATACAAATAACAACTTTCCTGTCATTAGCTCTCCCAGCTTGGAAAAAGAATGAGAAACTTAAAATGAGCTCCACTGAGCAACACGTATGTGATGCGGACCTGCAAAGGGGCTCCAGCTTTCACAGGGAACCAGCACATCTTCAGCTCTCATTGCTGGATGAATGGGTTTAAATGTTCAACATCAAACCTGGCTCACAGCAACACATTACTATAATGAATTTTAGGCATGGGGACACCTGGATTCTATTCAGGGCGCGATCGCAGGCAGGTCAGATCTCTTCCCCATGCCTCAGGTTCCCTACCTGGAATCAGGAGATAATGATAGCCCTTTGTAAGTGACTTTGAGCTCTATGGATTAAACTTTTGCTTTGAATATATACTGTGAGCCAGATCCTCAGCCTTGCATTAAGCGATGTAATTACAGAGTAGTCAGGCATCTGGGCCCCATGTGTTCAGAATTTAATAATATTAATTGAAAAGGTATTTGGGCTCAGATCCTCAAAAGTGTTTAGGTGTTTAAATCCCATCATCTCTAACGGGAATCATGTATCTATAACTCTTTGGAGATGTAGTGTTGAAGCACAAGGATTCAGGGGGTCCTTCAGCTCTGTTGCTGACTGAACCCATGGCATCTGCATCTCCTAACAAAGCACAGGGCTTGGGTTCATCAGAACAGATTACCAGTGCAAGCAAACAGCCATCAAAATCAGCAGAGAAAACGGATAAAAACTCTGGATCAACAAGTGTAAAACCCTTCAGAGCCTTGGACAGTAATTCCTGATGAGAAGGTTGTGAAGAATTTGTGGGGTTTTGCCTGGTCTCCTAGGAAAATGAGATTTATACAACCACACAGCAGTCTGTCCTCCCTAATAACCTTAAAGCCTATTTCAACTTCATTCAAGTCTGACATCAAAGTACAGACCCAGAAATGCTGTATTTTTGCAGATGTTGTAAAAACAGGCTGCAGAGTAGAGAAAAGAAAGACCTTCTTCATGTTTTCCCTGGAGAGAAAGGCAGGGAGGGCTCAAAACCATCAGGGAATCCATCTGGAAGTTCAAGGCTGTAAAATATATCTGTTGGGAAATGGCTTCGTTACCGGCATTGCACGGCTCCCTGATGGCCTGGGTGCCCCCAAAGCACTATCTCCTACAGAAGGGAAAGCAGCACTTCTGTTGGTATAGGTAGAATAGCAATAATGCAACCAAACCCTTGGAGATTCTCAACTTTACCTCGGCTGGCACGTCCCATGCACATGTTATCTGGCGTTACTACTTCTTGCTTGATCGTGAAGTAGTCTGTCTGCAGGGAGTCTGTCTGCACCGGGTCACGCAGGATGACCGAGGGATAGTCGTTCTCATACTTGAGAGACAGGAGCTCTTCCGAGCTGATGGGATGGAGGGTCTGGTAGGACTCTGTGATGAAGCTGGGCTCGGAAAACTCAGAGGGAGGTACGCACTGTGCATGCTCGATGCCATAACCTGCCGGCAGAATGGAAGCGTCAGAAAGCCACCCAAACTCAAAGAAACTACAGTGCTGCTCGCTCCCCCTCCAGTCTCCCAAAACACCCTGAGATTTGAGGTCCGCAGTGCAAGAGAAGACTGCCTTTGGATATAAAATACCTGGCACAATCGGGCACTAATTTTGAGTAAGGTTTCGAAAAGCTACAGAGAGGTGGTGTCTTATAATCGCAGCAATTTAAAAAAAAAAGACATCCTCAACCATCATCAGGGTGCTTTATGCCAAGTGCCTCTCGAGCAAGGTGCGAGTGGGAAAAAGCTGGAAAATCCTGAGGAGCACAGTCTCAGCAAAGGAGACATAGGGCAAAGAACCACTGATGGTTGTAATAGATGAGTCACTTCCACAGTCACTTCTCCTCACTGGCCAGAGCCTGGAATCCCAATTCAGTGAGCTGTTTCTTTTTGCTGTTTCATGAAATACATCACAGATTTCAAATGCCATTAAAGAACATCTCCAAACCAATGGCAATGGGATGTGCAGGAGTCCAGATTGGTGACTCATCCCTTTCCTTGCTCGGCTCTTACCTCAGCTATCCAGAATTAAGCCCTCTTCCCCCATTCCCTCCCTTTTTTACTAAGTTTTTAAAAAACTGCCAGTGTTCTGAAGTGTTAAGGTTACTCTTCACATCCTCTGAGCTAACAGCTTCAAACAAGTAAGTGTTTGCAGATCATGGCACCTCAAATCAGTCACCAAAAAAGGCAGATGGCTTCTAAATAAACCCAAACCACTACGAAAGACAAAATTACACACTTTGCATGCTCTGCCATGACAGAGCAACAGCTGCATGGTGCAGTCCTCATGTGATGCAGGCAAACCTCTAATAGGTGACACTTTCAGGCCTGGAAGCACCAGAATGACACTGGTAATTGAGACTTACTAATGAAGTAGTCTGAAGTATAGCGGGATTCTGGATATGTTGTATTCACTCCATTTGCTGGGTACGGTTTTACCTCTTCTGCAAAGAGGAAAGGAAGGAAATGTCACATGACCATAGGCATATTGTGCTTCACAAGACTTGCTGTAACACAGAGAGGTCTGAACTTCCCAAAATGCTCCTCTCTGGGTTAAACTGGGATGTTCAAAGGAACAGAAATCAGTTAGGAGCTGAAATCCCACTGAAACAAGTGCTTGATGCACTTGGGTTCCTTTGGGAATCCTTGCTGCAGGCATGTCCAAGTTTAAACAAAACCAAACCAAACAAAACAGCAACAACTTTCTCAATCAGAGGGTCCAGGTGGTTCTGAAATACTAGTTGCATAATTTCCTTGGTTGCCTTAATTTTTGTCGCCTTCCATTCTATTGGGGGTTGCTTATCACGCTTACACGTACGAGCTTGTGAAAAAGCTCTGCCATACAAGGACAGTTGTTTTTCTGAAAAAGCCCTTAATTTTGGACCAGCAGTAGATATATGCAAGCAAGTGGGTAACGCATACCAAAACCAGCTCCTACAACCACAAATTAATGCTCATTCCCAGCCTACACAGCACCTTTTACCTTGCACCTGATGCAGGCAGAAGATCCCATGCTCAAGCTTTGCCGCACTGTCCCTCACCCAGCTCCTGACAGAGACTTCACCATGCACGCATATATATATATATATATATATATATATATATATATATATATATATGCAGCATGCAAAATTTTAGCCTTTCTATAGGCATAACCCACTGAGAAAGAGCAGGTAACATACCAAAGCATAGATTCACTGCTTTCCATTGCTTTTTCTGAGCACTTTGGTACTCCTGGGCTTGGCGCTGAATTTGCTTTCCCATGTAAAAGCCACATGGCTCCTACCCTGCCCAGTTTTTCCATGAACACCTTACTCATTCCAGCACGGCATGTGGGCAGAGATACCGGCATGGGAGATTTTATTTTCTTTGCAGAGGGTAACCAAAATAAAAAACACGCAGACAACTTCGGGTTATGTTTATTTCTGCTGAGGCTAAAGAGAAGCAAACCGAAGATAACGCACGTTCGCTTGCAAGGAGCCTAATTTTGGCCCTCTCTCCTGGGGATTGCAGGGTGGAAAATATTCTGTAACAAAAGGAGTTTTTGTGCAAACAAGAGAGACCTAATGAGAAATGCTCTTTTCCTCTCCCCACGGTGTCTGCCAAGGGGCAGGGTGGGTGACCACAGAGAAAGAGAGCAACCTTCAGCTATGCTTACAGTCAAATGGAGGGCACTGCTGACTGCTGGTAACTGAAGAGGTTATTTTAGGAAGAAATTTGGAAAAATATGCCTGAAAATACCCAAATCCATGCAGGGAAAAGTCACCCATCTGCTGCCGTTTTTAAACCCTGAACAGCCTGTGGTACATGAGTCACTCTCAGAAAGTGCTCACAAGGGAGGCATGTTAGCTGAAGGGACAGCAAGGTCACAGCCTGTCCCAGTGTGACCCCATGCTGGCGGTCACCCCGCTACAGGTAAAGCCAAACATCTGGGGGTTAACCACCACTCCCAGCATCAACACCCCCATGTGATGATGGTGGGTGACTGGGGAAGATGGAAGAGACAGGGACTGGCAAGCTGGACCCTGCCTCACGGTTGAGCCCGGGGAAACCTTGATCTCTTCACACTTCATATCCCCAGCTGCAAAGTGGTGGAGACAACCACCTCCTCCTGAGTGGGGAGAGATGTGACAGGGACAATTTTGCACGTTAGGTTGGTACAGCACCAGCACAACAGAACCCAGACCTTGTCAAGAGGCTGGGAGATGTCCCACCAGTAATGCGAGTCCCATGACTTACATGGAACAGAAACTAGTCCTTGGAGTGAGGCTGGTTATTTCTTGGAAACTCTTCTTAGTTACTCTCCAAATACTTCACAGATATGGCCCTTCTGGGAAATGTGTTAAGAACCCACCATAGAAGCTAAAGCTCAGATAGCTTATGCAAGAATTAACAAAGCCACCAGTAAAACTGAACATAGAACGAAGATATCTCGGTTCCCAGAGCTACGCCAACTGTGCTGAGACAAAGGAATTCAGCTTTCTTCTTTTTCACCCTTTTGGAAGAAAAGCTACAACAGGCATAAAGATTTCCAGCTTCTTTGCAAAAGCTCCTCTCTGTCTCAGGCCTTTTGCATCCTTGTGGCTGCAGCATCCTAATACCTGCATGGGTCAGTGCTGTAAGGAAACACGATTCCCTACTTTACTGTGAAACTACAGCACCAAGTTCATCTCCCCATGCCTTGGAGAATCTGCAGGAAGAAGCAAACCCAGCCCTAATGCCTCAGTCAACACCTGCAGCACATTGCACCCCTTTCCAGCGGGTTACAGCCTGAACAAATGAAGAAGGGCTGCAGGAAGGCATAGCTGCGTTACAAGCAATGGCTTATACCAAGGAGAACCTGGACTGACCGCAACATTTTGCTTTGTTTGGTTAAGCTGCTTGCTGTTGATATAAGCACTCAATAAAAATTATGCAAAATGAGAAGAACAGAACAGATATAGAGTCAAAGACCAGAAAAACAGCCTGTCATACACAGACCCTGGGAAGAACGTGTTTACCTTTTGCAAACCACAGGTAGCAGTAAAATTAGTAATTGGCAATTAACATCCATTTGTCAATGGTTTCCTGGAAGGCATAACTTTGCTCCCCCTCCCCTTCCTGCCACCAGTACAGGCATAACCAGTACAGACAAGCATGCAGGGCTGATATGACAGGGCAAGGGATATTCCAGGAAAGCAAACTGTTCTGCACAAAAAGGAGCTAGAGAAAGAGTCCAGATTTGCTGCTGCTCCTGCTCATGGCTCAGTGAAAGGTGTTAAGCTCTTCACTTGCTCTTTTGAAACCATCACAGGTGAAGTATCCAGATGCTATGAAAAAGCAACACCCAAAATCAAGGTGTGTCCCCCCAATCAATGAAAATTAATGCCCTTGAATGCTGTCATGTTGGGACTGGCAGAGATGGCTTCTCCTGTGGGGGACACAGCCACCTTTAGCAAAATGCCATTCCACCTGTTGGGAGATGAAACAAAGCAAAGCAGCTTCCAATCACAACTGGGAAATTAGGGTGGGATTTTGGTAGTATTGTTGTACCCAGTTCCACCAGAGGAAGTAGTAAAATTCACAACAGGAGTTGAACGAACTGAGGAAAAATGCTTTGGAAAATCCCACCGTCATTTCCAGGCAGGCAGAACGTCCCTGCCCGCTGTGGATTCCTGCCAAGCGGCCGGCGCAAACACCCTTCCTCTTTCAAGCAGTGCCAGGATTTGCACTGCCCACTCCCGGTTGGGATGCCCATTTGAAATCCTACTGGAAAGTTGGGCTTTGAAAGCTGCTTTTATTGGGATTAAAGCCCAAGGTGAACACCTAACTGCAGAGCCAGACTGCAAGCCAAGGGCTTTGGACAGGCCCAACATCAGGCTAGCCAGGACGGCGTGAGCCATTCACCCTGGAGGCTTTTCACTCACCTTTCTGCAAGATCTCCAGGTGTTCCCAAAGGATATCTCCCACAAAGTCAGGCGCTAGCTCCAGGAAGCACTCTTTGCCCAGGGCGCAGAGGGCAGCTCCATTCATGCAAAACTTCTGGAAATCCACTCCCTTCAGGCTGAACTCATTCACTGCCCACATCACCCAGTCCCGCACATGCGTCTCCGTCCACTGCTGGGGATCTGCACCAAGGGGGTGTAGAAGAGATTAATGAGCACCCACAAGCCATTTCCCCAGGAAAAAAGGACACAAACCGTGCTACAGCTGCACTGCACTCGCACAGCCTCATCCCATAGAAACGGGCAGTCCACTGGCAAAAGGGTAAAACGTGGTGGGGGAACACCAAACCTCATACAAAGGAGGAAGTTTTTAATCTGTTTGGAACTTCTAACCCCTTCTCTGCCCCCTTCTCCCACCCAGTGCTCCATCTTGCTTGGTTTCTCCCAGTCATCAGCCTCTAGTAAAGGGTCCCTGCTGTTTCTCTGTGTAGTGGAGATGCCTCCAAAGGAGCAGGTCCCCAAAGCTGCAAGAGCAGCGAGGTCAGCAGGACAGACAGGCACAGTCGGTCAGACTGGTGTAGTGCGCATGTGGCACTGAAAGGTTCTGCCTCTATGTCCAGATTTTTCCAGCTGAAGCTACCAAGAAACAAGGCAACACTACGTGAGAAGAATCAACAAAAGAGATAGCAGATGTGGAGAAGGGCAGCTGGGCAGGAGGACACAAACTCTGTGGCTACCAGGGTTGCTCGCTGGGAAACCACTCTTACCTTTGGGGATTCCCAGCCGCTGTTGTTCTTTCGCGAAGCCGCTGAAGGTGGCTTTCAACGCCTGAGACATCATTTCTTTGCTGCTGGGAGTTAATAAAGGCACATCCGCACATTCCATATCTGAAAGAAGCAGGAGAGAAAATGGCCGTAAGGATGTGGGACTGGAAAAGATGACAGGAGTCATGCTGGCCATCGAATTGCCAGAAAAACTGAGAAATCTTTTTTTTTTTTTTAAATGGTCACACCCAGACCCTCTAGCCCTACACCTAAACCCTGCAAGTCCATGAGTCCATTCTTAAACACAGGAAAAAGAACATTGTGCTTATAATAAGCCTGTACTTAAAGGGCATAAACAAGCCATGTCTGGCAAGCTAGGTTACATGGTGCACATGGTCTCCCTACAAGCCAACCACGTGGAAATTCAACGGCGATATCAAAAGACTTTTCCAGACATCAGCCTGCTGTCCTTCATCACCCCAGGTGGCGTCTGGAGCCTGGGAGATAGCTGAGCAGCTCCAGACGCCAGTGAAGGTGAAGAGTCCCACACCAGAGTGAGGAAGAAAGCAGGGAGAAAAGCCTCTCTGAATTACCGCTCCACCTCAGGTCATCGCAGGCCAAAGAAAAAGAAAAAATTAATTTTATAGAATCACTGGCTATCTTGGAAAAAGCTGACAGCAGGCTGAGGCAGGATGAAGAACCGGCAGAAAACCCATTCGAGGAGGGAGGGAAAACAAAGAGCTGGAAAATCCCACATTAGCACAGAGTTACATCATGCGCAGCCCATAGCACGGAGCGACGCGATTCGGAGTGAGTCACTGAACAATGCTCAGTCGCCCCCGTGGGAGAGCACAGGGCCAAGCCAAGAGCCAGGCCTTGGAGTAAGTCCTGATGAGAAGCAAACCTCTTCCTTTTTTTTTTCCCTTTTCCTAATTTATTTGGAAGGAGGCAGATATTTGTAGCCAAAGAGTTTCATAAACAAAAGCAACACTGAGAAAAAAAAACCCTCGATCTGAATAAAGGTTTGGCTGTTTTTCATATATTTTAGGCATTCTTGAAAAACAACTTTCACAGAGAAGGAAAGCCTCGTACAACCGCCATCTCAAATGACTGAACTTTATCCGCCTCCTATGTCAATCTTCCACCTGAGGCTGGTTTAGCACTGGAGCCTACTGGAAATTTTTCAATGAAAACTCTTCTCAGTGGAAAAATGACAACATGCACAAGCTCTTACAGTGTTTTCATGAACGTCTGGATGTTGACATCAAAAATCAAAGAATTCTCTGTTTTGTGGAAACCCCAGCCACCTCGGCTTAGGCTTACCATCACTCTAAATTAATTTAAGCTCTGATTTAATAAGCCATTATACCTGCAAAATGTTTCAAGCAGTGTTGAGTGCACCCCTAATCCAACGAGACAGCGCTGCAGCCATTGAGCACGGGCAGCCCAGCGCAACAGCGCTGCTTTTTAGTCTGACCCAGTCTGGGGTTCCTGCTCCACTCGGATCCTCCACAACAAGTCCAAACAACACAGTGTTGGGTTTTTTTTGGCAAGTGGGAATCGGGGGGTTGGGTCAATAAGCATCCACATGCAGCTCTGTGGCACAGGGTGAGGTTGACCACGCTGCAAAGCGACCCCAAATCATCTGCTGGATGCACCAAATGCAATTCCACCGCCAAGCCAAAACAGAGCAACTTTTCTGTCTCCATCTTTGCACCCTCCACCCATCATCCCCAAATAAAAGACATGCAAAATCACCTCCTCTACCTGCAGCTCCCTCTAACGTTAGTCACCAAGGCACTCAACTAATGATCTGCGTGACTCTTTGCTCAGGTGGGACTCGTAAAATTCCCAACACCAAGCCTCTCAGGACCCGATTCCTCCCCCTAACCCCACCACATAAATCAAGGACTGCCTGCCACAGTGGAAGTATCAGGACCTTCGACAGCAAATAATACATTCAAAGGCTATTTAGCAAATTACACTTCATTATTTACTGGATTTGGCTGGAGAGGGCACGGAAAAATGAGCAGCCACCCTCACTATCTCTGTTCTCCATCTGCTGCGTTGAGATAACACTGGGAGAAAGTGGTTCAGTGCCCCTTTCCCTTCATCCTCATGTTACATTTTAATGCTTTGCTTTCTGTGCTCTGTGGTTACAGGGACCACCCAGGAATCCGCTCCCCTCCGCCGGCTGGTTAAACGGCAGTTCACTGCTCCCGCATGCTATGGGAAGATGAGTCAGAGTTAGGCTAAGAAAAACGTTTCTAACCCCCAATTTTTACACTGAATCACTCGCAAAAAACTGTGTGGAGATGACCTCCTTAGGCAAGCCATGAAGAGCAGCAGGGCAAGGTGAGGTGCGTGCAAAATTGTGTTTTTATCTCTGCAATACAAGCGAGTACCTATCACTGACCCTCCTTGTTTTCTCTTGCAGGATTCATGGGGTTGGGTTTGCACATACCCAGCGAATCAATTTTTCAGTAGCAGGGGATAAGGTTTCGGTTTAGTAAGGTGAACGCTGAGCTCTGCACAAACAGTATGTCAAAACAGGGAAGACTTAAAAGTGATTCCCAGTGAGAGGTCATCAGAGAAGCAAACAGTCTGTTTCCAAATTTAAAAAAAAAAAAAAAAAAAAAAAAAAAAA